AAGTTAATTAATTCTTTTTTTTTTGTATAGCATAAATATACATACCATGAATTCAAAATCAGAATTAAATTTTTTATTACGCAACGAATGCAGTTCTTTTTTCAAATTTATAGGTCTAAAACTAAAACCATTTTGGGGTTTTTCATTGGCTTGGTCAGCAAAAATATAGAAATTTAGCAAAACTGCTTCTGCAATATCGATCATCTTTTATGAAAATAATTCATATTACATATTAATAAATATAGCATGTACTTTTTGCTATACATGTTAAATCAACTTAACAATATTTCGAAAATTGAGAATTGTACTAATAATATTTACTTGCTTTGCTCGATTAGCATCGAATTTGATTCCTTCAAAACACGCTTTAACATTATCATAAGAAATTTGGTTGGCTAATCTCGTGCATCCATCTTTTACTTCACCTTCTGCTTTTGATTGTGAAGACAACAAATAAAGAATTATTAATGTAACAAGAAGTGCAATTTTATTATAGCGTTTTGCAAAAAGAAGTGACTTCATGATTTTTGTGATGATGAACGAGGAAAATTTCCGAGATTCTAAATTGTCTATTAATCATATTTTTCTATCAGTTATACTGTATTTATATTTATTTGAAGTTGGTAAAATTCTTTAAATATACAGAATTTCCGATTTTCAACGACATTGTGATCTGCAGAGGTCACTTCTTTTTGCAAAGCGCAATAAGTGATTGAAATTTTGATAAAAAATCAATAATTTACTTTTGAATATTACTAACTATAGCCGGTGGTGACCATCACCAGGGTGTTTTTATATTATATATAAAAAAAATAAATTCCAAAACTGCACCCTAACCCTAAAAATATCTATGGGCGGTGACAATCACCACCGGTTATTTGTAGTAAAACTCTTTACTTTTTTATAATAAAATTTTTTTTCTTACTATATCAGTTATAAATTTATATAAAGTTAGATTTATTGAAATGGCTCGGGTAAAAATAAATATTAATAAATTTTTTTTATTCTACTATTTTTTATTTTGCATCGTCGTTGTCTTGAAAATCTTCAACTAATAATATCATTAATGAAATTTTATTTAATTTGTCAATCCCAAATTTCTTAATTTAAAAGGTTGAATAAGGTTTAAATTATTTAAATTAGCAAGTAATATTAATATGTACACAAGTTAGTACAGTAATGTGTATGTAATTTAAACCTCAGATCAAATAAACCCGTTTGAGCACTTGGTGTGACCTCTGCAGATCACGATTACCGACGTTACGTTTTAGAACAAAAATATGATGAACAAATGAACAAATAATCAGCATATCGATTATCAAAGCTTATGAATATTGCGTATCAAAGAAAAACCTATATGTCATTAGGGCGCATTTGTAAAATACCCCCAAAATTGAAAAATTTGACTGCCAATACGTAAATAGTAATTTTGCCTAAGATAGTCAATGCCTCCCAGGTTAAGGAGCGTCATTATAATAAATTTATATGTCTAATGAAATGTGGGAAGGTGGGTTAGCATGTGGGGAAAATGGGTTAGACCATTGTTATTATAGATCGGAGTGCCAATAATTTTTTTTGGGTTCAATATTAGAAAATTGATAATATTTTGTCTCCAAAACTTAAATTTGGGGACAAAAATTTAGTTAAATTTGACAAACACGCCGTAATGTTAGGACCATCGAAGAATTTGAATATGGGATATAAATAATGCATTGGAAATCCAATTAGCTGTTGATAAAACATGTACCTAAATGGATATTCAATGTCCGAAATCGAAATAGAGATTGTACCTATTTAGGTATTATTAAAATAACAGGCATTTATTGAATTGTAGATTCGATAGAAACAACAGAAATATGTAATACTTGTATGTAAATATAGTAGGTATAGATAGGTATTATTAAAAGTAATTTCGAAAATATATATTATTAACAAAGCTTATAAAATTTGGTTTTTAAATGTAACATCTTTTCATGGTTAGATTAGAGATGCGCTATTATTCTTGAATCTGGATTAAGTAGACCATATAAAAGCTTTGTTTAAAGAATTTTTATCATCTTTTTAATACATAATTTATCCTATTGGCTAAATTTATTTGGAAACATTATCCAGCCTTTAAAGCCAATATTTCCTTATCATTTAATTGGTTTTTTTTTTCTTTTTTTTGATAGTTATCATTGCTCTGAACCAATGATTATTTTCATTATGCGGACTGTGCGCATCATACAGAAAGAAAATTTTGCGTACATTTTTTGACATTTTGTAATAGTGTCCCGGTTCTAAACAGTTTCTCATAGCTTTTATTTTTATTTTTTTCATTTCCTATTCCTTTTATTATTTCCGCATAGAAAAGTCTAAATTGTGCGGTATCCGTAGTAAATTTTAATTGAAAATTAACATTGTTTTTTTGGACTAGACATGTATATAACTCAAAGCATTAGGACAGGCGTGATGTACTAAGTTATAACTTATGACTGTATGGGTCGCATTCAATTTTAAATATATAGATCAATTTACTATTTATTTTTTGTCTACATTAAATATTCAAGCAATACATTTTTTATGATTGTTGAGAAATAGAGAACTGATGCGTAAAAACTGTTTTTTATATAATAAAAAATATGATCATTGATTAATATTATTGTTACGACATTAATTTTGATTGATGATATCTTAGTGTATTCATCATAAAAAATTTTTGCTAAGAGAAATTTGGAAGTAAAACTTTTTGATATTTTAATATTTTTACGCAGCAATTATACTATATGAAACCTATAGCTTTAAAGATCCGTTACACCTAAAATCCTTAGCATGCCCCTAAAAAAAGCTACACATCTGAGTTTAAATTTCTCCGAACAGAAGTTCCATTTCAAAATTACTCCTATTACACTTTGCTTAATGTGAAATTCGATTAAGTTTGTCATACATATTAATTCTTTTGATTATTATGAATTTTTGCAAAATAAATTCATGTAATTTAATGATTATATTAGCTATTCTGACAAATTGTTCACCCAAATTACTTATTACATTAATTGTAATCGCAAAAAAAAAAAAAAAAAAAAGAATAAAATGAAATAATATAAAAAATTTAATTCTGATTTTGAATTCATGGTATGTATATTTATGCTATACAAAAAAAAAAGAATTAATTAACTT